TTTAAGCCTGGTAAAATGATAAATTCAAAAAAATTTAATTTTTGGTAGCAAATTACGAAATATCAGTGCAAAAAAAAACCATCAGCTTTGCACTTTTATTTAATACTAGGAATTGCTTATCTACAAATAATGGAGTTAATATCACACGTCGGAATAGAATGGAAAAAAGAAAAAGAGAAAGTTATCAAATAGCCTACATTCAAGATAAAAAAATTGGTTAACAACTAAAATAGTTCATTGGTACATTTTATTGATCCTCTCAAAATCTGCGTTAAGGCTTGGTATTTGTACGAAGCAGCAGGGACAGAATACCCATAATTATCTTTCATAGTTCTTGGAAAAACCTCGATAAGAGACAAAAGGTTTGCACCAATAAAAGAGTCTTCGTTACGCTTCAGACTAGTGATTGTACCCGTCCTAAAAAGTACAACCCGGGTTACCCGCGGGTAGTGCCGCGGGTTACCCGGGTAGACTTACGGGTCTACCCGGGTACAAAGATTACCCGGGTCAGGATAATATATGTAGGATTCGATCATCGATTTTTAAATGATTTTTAACACCTAATATAAACCTAATCCGGAAATATTGTTAGTGAGGATGTAGAGTAGCAGTACCGAATATAGATGCAGACTTATGACATCACATAGTTACGTCCTATATAAAAAATCGGGTCATAAAATAAAATGCAATTGAGCCGTAACTAGTGATGTAAATACAGAAATAAGTCTGCATCTATAGTACCGAAGCAATGTGACTACACCTAATAAAAAATCTCCCGAATGATTTTTCGTCCGTTCCGGTTAAGTTATTATTTCGGCATAATAAATTCAATAAAATTACAAATTATCGTTATACGTTGTGAAAGGCGAAAACGATGCACTGGTCCTAGGTAATACAACTATACACTACTACACAATACTAAAACTAACTAAACTCTCTAACCAGAACACCACAACTAATACAACCAAACCCCTAGTAGTGGTAAGGCAACGATCGAGGCGTGGAAAGACTTGGTCCGAGTAACCAGGGTTAATTGGGTTCTTAGTAATAGTGTCGGATTAGAGCTCTTGACTACGTCACGAATCTCTTTACACAGAGTCACGGGATTTGGTCACGAATTCCAATCATTATTTACAGATTTCACTTATCGGGGGGTTAGAATCCAACACTTCTATTCTAATTTCGAAGGTCTTATTCAATTTGAACTTCACAAAGCTAATCTTTATTCAAGCGAAAAGGCGGGTCTTATATATCTTTTACATGCTAACAAGTTTATACGACTATATTCACTATGTTAACTATGTTCAACATGTTCGCTATGTTCACTATGTACTATGTACACTATGTGCGCTATGTACACCATGTTAACTATGTACACTATGTTGACTATAATGAACATTATTTCTATCTAAGGTAACGATCTCTTTCACTTACTACTTTTTTAGGAAAGTTATTGAACAAATGCTAACTAGATTTTTCTAAGAAAGGAAAACAATTCATAGCCAGAAACGATAATATATACTGTACTGTATAACTAATAATAAAATAAAAATAAAATAGAACAGAATAACTATAATAAAAATATATATATATTGTGGAACCATCGCCGCAGAGCTCCCGGCCTTATTTTCGAGTTCCACAAGAAAAACTAACACAAAAAGAAAAAGAATAACTAAGAAAAGAAAAAAAACTAAGAAAAACTAATAACAAAGAAGAAGCAAACAGAAAAACTAAAATAATAATAATAATAATAAAAATCTAACTCAAAATCTTTTAAAATTGTCTAGATGTTAGGCCACCGACCACCTAAACATAATTGGGTTTAACGTCGGATTGTTGAATTTCGGCAAGTTTCTGGATTTTTGGCATCAAGTTCCTTTATCACTAATTCCATTTTGGTAACAATAACCAACTTCGCATGCCTCAAAGTCGTTTATCCCGAAAGAAATATCATATCAAATGCTGGAATGCTAGTTAATTCTCTCTGCTTGTCTTGTGTAGTACTTACTTATGTGCCAGTACCAGGCTATTTCCACGACTTACAGGTAAGCATACCTCCCTGTGGCACAGTACCTACTTACATGCTAGTACCAGGCTAATTTTTGTGACTTACACAGGTATTACTTTCAGAATTAACTTTTTCTTTCATATGTCAGGATGAATTTCTTTTCATCCTATGGGCCCCACCTCACATATAGAAGTCGTAACCAACCAGAAGCACTTGTTACGTCCTTTGTCCTAGATTTTTTTTTTTTTTATTATTATTTTTATTACGCCAAGCTTCTCACGAATTGGTACACATATTCATTACTAACAAGTTTCTTTTCGGTCCCAGGGTCTATTCCAAATTCTCTCGAAAGTTCCTGCCTAATAATTTCTTGTCGTGCCTCATTGATAATCCTGTCTCATAGTAGGGATAGTTCGTGAGGACTATTAGCCACTAAATTGTATCTATGGAAATGGAGGAGATATATGGCACTATGAAATTTAATGCTTGGGTGGCTAGGTGATTTCCAATCGTCAGGTGAGTATAAATGTGAAACAAATCTCTATATTGTTTTATCGCGCCATTATATTTTAATTTTTGACGTCTTTGCTTGCTTAATTTTTCATATTCCACAAGCTTGATAGGCGTTGTACTTTTTGCTGTAAACGTGTTTTTTCTTCTATTATATTAACAGCACCAGCCTTTTGGGCTTCTTCAGGAGGTTTCCTATTCCATTCAATCATTGTATTTTCATCCTTGTTAGTTTCTATGCTCTGCTGGTAGCAGTATCTAGGATTACTTCGTCCTTTCGAATCGCTGTCTTTCATAGATTTTGAATACTGTTCAAACACTTTATTTTCATCTTTTTCAGCACCAATTCCATTCTTATAGCAGGGAACAACCAGATATATTTCATTAGCATCAACCATATCTGCAGTCTTTTAATAATAGACAAATGTATTATGATCATCTCTTTTGATACCAATTCCATTTTTGTAGCAGGTTCCAATGTTATTTCCTTCGTTAGGTTGATCTGCGCCAGCCGATTCTTGGAGGT